TGTTGACATCAAAATTCACAATGACAGCGCTATAGCTGCTTAAGCAAATGCTAGTTTTCATTGTTGGCTAAAAAATTACGAAGTTAAATAATTTGCTTTTTTCAGGGGTTTATATGCAATAAAAAGTTACAAAATGACCATTCGAATAACTTTTTCACCTTTCCTTTTCTTTCTAATAAACTATTCACACTTTCCTCAATCTAATAACGTGATGATCCACATGCAAGTGCATTAAAAATTTATAAATTTATACTTTTAACCCAAAAGCTATAGTAAGACTTCCCAAAAGCAGCAGTTTGGAAAAATCACTAAGTATTTATCACACAGACAGATATCTCAAATGGCTCCTCAAAAAAGGACATATATATTGAATGCAACAGCAGAAGATTCTCACTGGCTCCAACTTGGTCAATGCAGGCTTTGAAACTTTTGCTGAAGGATCGGAGTTGCTCTGTAGAGTGCTGTCAGCTTTCGATGCACTGTCATTTCCCTTGTTATGGGATTTCATAAACCACTTTCTAATATCCGACTGCAATCCAATCAATAGTCAAGGTATCAGATTAAAGAAAACCCAGCAAACAAGAGCCTCTACCAAGCTCTAATAATGAACAGATATTACCCATCATTTCTCTTGACCAACAAATACAGTATTTGATTGCACCAGAACCACACCCGGCCAGAAAGAACAGTCAGAAAACTTACAATTGTGCACAATAATAAGAACTCTGACAAGAGCAATGGAGGAAGAAAGTAAACAATACTAATAATAATTTGGTAACTCCCATTTTTCTTTTAAGTTCCCTCGAATGAAAGCATATTTGATACTACCACAAACCCAATGTCTAACCCTAATGAAATACCTAAAAACTAGAAGCACATATCATACAACTTGCTAAATTACTGATTCCACTTTCCCATAATCCAAACAGAAAACTATAATTAAGCAAAAACACAAAAACTTTACCATGTTTAATCTCCAAAATACAACAGCTCGATCTCTTGCTGCTATCCTCTTAGAAAAAACCTGTCAACCGAAAATGACTCATACTGAGCCATGCAAAGGTAACTTCAGTAGAAAAAAAAAACAAAAAAACAAAAAAAAACAACCAAACAGAAAATTGAGAATTGGAACGAGAAAATGCTTAAGGTTCTAATAATAACAAGAAATAAAAAAGAATCAAACTCATGCTTCTTCTTCGCCAGCCAGCTATGAAGCTGCGACCATCGAGAGGTTTCGGGTTTTGGAGGACGATGAGTTCGCAAGCGGGTTTGGGAAACTCTTTTTTTGGAGGGAGGGGATGGTTTTGGTGGAATTTATGAAATTAATCAGGGACAATTTTTGTAAGATTCTAGAAAAAATAATCATTTATTTCCGTACAAATATATACTGTTTTATGTGTGTGTGTATATATATATATATATATTTGCGAATTTACTTTTTGAATTTTTT